CAAGTATATCCTAATTACTGTGTATATTCTAACCTGGAGTGCTGGAACATGTGGTACTTGCAAAAGAGTTTATTTGTGTAGTACCACTGGTGAGAGTAGTTAATGACGATGCGCATGCAGATCTTGGTAAATGAGTGGCAGTTCTGATGGGAAAGCGGCATTTTTACTGTATGCTATTTTATTAGTATTACTGTGTTTAAAACAGTGTTGTGCCCAATGCTGTATGCTGTTCCACTACTGTACATTGAGGGGAAAGCTGGTTTTAGCACTTTGTTGGGCTACTAAGTAACAGGAGAAAGCTCTCTGAAGCCTATGAAGTTCCAATAAAGAAGGTGGAAAAGTGAAGAGCAATGGAAACCCTGTTCTGTTAGATCTACAGGTTGGAAAGAGATGTTTGCTTCAGAAGAATCTAGAGCCAGTGCTTTGTTTCCCAAATCTCTCTTATGTTTGTTGTATTACTGCAACGCTTGTGCTTGCCCCCCTGCCCCCAGCTGCTAAAAAGTATTCAAATAAGCTAAAAGAAACAGAATAAATTGTAAGTACTTGCTTTTCTAAGTAAATGCTGGGTTGCTGTTGGGCTATTAGGTGGTGGCATATGTAGCAAAATACAAAATAAAAATATTTTATAACTGCTCTTCATATAGAAATACTGTCTTTCATACTAATGACTGAGGAGCTCTTTGGGAATAGCTCAACACAGAGAATCAGTGAGTATTCAAATATGTATGAATAAAGAAAAGTTATACTAATGCAATGCATTGTTCATTGCAATTACCGTGTTTCTTCTAAGTATAAATTATCTATACTTACACTGCATATGATATAAAGGAAGGAAATACCAGTGGCCTGATGTTTCAGTACGGTTTTGTCTTAGCTGTTAACACCTTGTTGAGAAACAGAGAAAGGCTACCACCTTCTTTTGCATGCAAATTATAGGCTGTGTGGATTAGTTATGTGCCAGCTAATGAGGCTGTATTGTTGTTCAATGTCCCTGTGTAATTACCACTTCTGAGACCTGCAGTGTGCTCGGTGTACCCCTCTTGGAACTGTTCTATTTCTTCTGTTATTTTACAGCACTGACTGGGTTATTTGCTACTGCAAATCAAAAGGAAATTTCTCTAATGGCTCTGTCATTTTGTCCTGTGTCTGTACAGCATGGAGCACAGCAGGACCCTGGCCTATGGCTGAGCCTGCTAGTGCTACAGTAATATGAACAAATCATAATCATACTTGACTACTGCACGTCCTTCATAGCAGAGTTTGGCAATGGCTGCATCTACTCTGCTGTCTGTGCTGCCTGTTCCCTATAGTGTTAGACCCTTCATCACTCAAGACCGGTCTTGGGCTGCCCAGTTGGTATCACTTGTTATTACCAAAGTAACTATGCTCGTCTTTCTGTGCTTAACCTCCTGGTCAGCTGGATATTTGATATTGTGGTTTCCTCTTCTCTAATGATCATCAGTATTTTAAACTTGATAGTCGGTGTTCTTATGACATCCTTGCAAAGACTTGTTGATAAATTAGTCGTCCATGTTAGAATCTCCGGAACTTCTCTCCTTCATGTTCCCTCTGCAACAGAAATATTCCTCTTTCTATTAAAACGGTAAACAGTGTGTAAGGTATATCCAGGAATATCCCATCTGATCATTTGTTACAGGACCTAACTGGATTCTTAAAATAAGTGTTAGATAAGAAACTACTGTTGAAATCCAGAAATTTTATTTTCCTAGTAAGACACAGTCTTACTGAGCAAGATCGATATTATATTGTGCTAACTCAGCAAGATCAATATTATTTATGCCTTTGAAAGTTCTTTAAAAACATACTCTATATAGAGACTTTCCCAAATCAAGTGATACACTGACTTCTCTCTCTTTTTTTTTTTTTTTTTTTACCCCAAGCAGTATTTGATTGTGTTGGAAGGTTGTATTTTTTTCCACTGGGTTAACAGAGCCTGGACTAATATTTCCTCACTGGCTGTCAATACGAACAGCCAAGACTACAATCAGCAGTTTTGCATCTGAAGCCTTTTTTTATTTGAATTGTAGCATTACCAAATTTCATCCGATGTACTCACTGACCCCCATCCTGATAAAGGAGGAAGGAATTGAAAAGCTCTAGGCAATCATCTGGAGATGTGATGTAAAGTTTATTTATCACCCAGATTGGAAGTATGTATATACCTTGCATAGCATTCATTTGCTTCCTAGCCAGTCTTGAAGCACTGGCTATCAGCAGTTTCCCATGTATGTCTGAGTTAGACATTTCAACTTCCTTCATTTGATACAGATGCTGCTACAATAATCCACACTTCTGGTATTTTGTTTTCAGACATCTGCAGTGCAATCTATTTGGGATTATTTCACAGTGTCTTTCAAAGGTGAAAGCAAGTTTACAAAAAAAAAAAAAAAAAAAAAAATTGTCATTCCTAGTGGGGTACTTCATCTTGAGCTGATTACACTCTGTGAACTGCACATGACCATCTGAAGGTTTGTAGCAGGTTTATGAAATACAGCTTTAGTTAGACATCCATCAGGGACTGGGAGACTAGGCATGTCTGCTTCAGGTGATTATTTCTGCTGCAGACTTGTATGAGTTAAAAAAACTTTAGAAAATCTTTGCCCTAGACAACCTTTGTAGAAAGAAGCAGTCATTATTTTCTCCCCTCAAAATCTGGACAGCAAAAATAAGAACAGATCATTTCAGAGAGCAGGCATTTCTAGCATTCATTGTTGCTAGACTTGCTTTTTCGTTGTGTGGTGAAAGTTAGTTCCTGGATTTTATTGTTTTTAATTGCAAGGTCATTTTACTCTTTTGTTGTTTGCTCCTAAAACAATTTTTTAAAAATTGTATTTATTTATTTTGGTTCTAGATGCGCTGACATAGCTGTTCCATTGATCTGTTTATACGTTTATGGGGAGAAACAGGAGCTGCTGTTGGTTGAAATGTTCTAGTGATTTCTAATGATGAGGAACAGCTGGGCTAGGCAGGCTGCGTGGAAAGTGTCCGGGAATGTGAGTATCAAGAAAGACCATTTTATATAGAAAACTGGTACAGCTTTTTCTCTAGACCCAGGCAACAGAGAAATCCTAAGGCACATTTTCCGTTATTTTTTCACTTGTTCATCCAGTGGGTCTGTGTCTTCTATTTGTTTGCCATTACATGCTTAGATTTTGAGCTTCCAGAAGTAGCATCCATTTGACCAGCATGAGAATTGATTTTTTAATAAAAGTAATAATACTACTGCTATGAAATAGTCTACAATAGTTTGAAATTTGTAAAACTGCTTATATTTTCTAAATTAACAATGATAATGAGTTCAGGCTGGACTCTAAAGACAAGTATGTGAAACAGAGAAAATTCCTGTCTTTCTGGAAATCCATGTGGTACCCAGACACATATTAGAAGGAATAGGCTGACAAAGAAAAAGCGATATCCATTCAAAAAGCAGAAACATCTTTATTTCCTCAGCAGGGAGACCTGCTCCAGAATAAAACATATCTACTAGAAATTTGCTGGGCAAAAATGTGCACTAAGAACTCAGTATCTAAACTTGTCTCTGAACTCAGCTTCCAGGTTTTTCTGACTCCTGAAGCCATGGAATGAATACAAAGCAGCAGGTTAATCTCCTTGTATCTCTTTGAAGTTATTTTTGTCTTTGCACACACTCTTCATATTGGTAGTTCACCCTCGGCATGCTGGACTGAAGTATGAGGGTGTGATGTCACCTTACAGAAAGGCACTAATACTTCCTTGTGTTTGTGGTCCAGACCATCTGCTGCCGAACGCAGCATGCCAGGGAGGATTTACACCAGGTCACAGTCTGATGGTGCACGTTCCCGTGCTGGTCCTCTGTTTATTGTACGCTCCTCCATCTTCTGTGTCGGTGTACGCACGCTCTTTCGGTTACATCGGTTCTCACCTCCCCAACCACTTCGTTGCACGTTGGTTACGGTCAGTAAGGGTGGACGAGGACCGGGGCCCGAAGAAGAGAACGAGGGGGGAAGATGCAAGGAAGGAAGCTGTTGGCGGGAGGCGTTGGGAGGCAGCGGCGGGGAGCCTGAGGCTCCACACAGACCCCTGGGGCCGGAGGAGAGGAGGGCCCATGGGAACGGCAAGGGGTCAAGGGCGGCGCATGACGCCTGCCAGGCGCTGAAAGGCTCCTTCGCCCTCTCTGTGCAGGCGCGGAGCTTCCCCGGGAGCAAAGCGAGCCGGGCCTTCCTCTTCTTCCCCCCCCGAGTCTCTCCCCAGCCTCGCTCCGGGCCGACAGTTTTCAACGTCGTTTCACTTTCCGTGAAGTTAAACGAATTTGAACATTTCCAAAGCGGGCCCCGCCCCGACCGGGACATTACATCCCCGCGCCCCGCCTGACCCAGGTGCCCGACCGAGCTCCTCGGGGCCGATGCCG